CGGGATTGTTTTCATTGTTCATTGTTTTGGTTTAGCCACTTAACCAGCGACCAAAATATTCCAAGAACACAACCCTCAATGAGTGTAGTATCGAGTATCTACCAACTTCGGACTGCACCAAAGCCGGTCATCTCACTACCCCTAATAAAAGGCCAAGATGGTCAAGTAAGGTTCTAGGTCATTAGTGCTTGGTGACATCACTCAGCGGCCCCGTACTCTCCTTGATTGAACTCAAGGGTTATCGGTACTCACAAATATGTCGCACTAATATAGCTATTGCTTCGACCGTGTCGGTATACCCCGCACAGTTTCCACAACGTATTGCTATCTATGAATGTTTCCCAAAATCCGGGTGTAGGATTGCAAACCCAAACAAATAGAGCCAAAGTATAAAGCAAACAATTCAATTAATTTGTCATGCAAGAGGGTGATCTAAGCCCTAAGGTTACTCCACTTTTAAAAATATCCCCAGCAGAGTCACCAGTTCTGTGATACGGTGGGAGAACTGACTATGGTTTTGCGTTTGTTTTCTCAAATGTTTCGGTTGAGCAAGAGTCGCCACCGACTTTTTATTTTATCCTAAGGAAAGGTTAAAAAGCACAGCAAACACCTTTGAGATGTTTTCTTGGGTTAGGGGAGTAGATTATAGAAAGGGAAGGTATTAGCACCCTTTCTATCCATGGTTATCCATGGGCTCTTAGTTACTTGCTTAGATCACTTGCCTTTTGTTTTCAATTATTTGAAATGGTACTCTTGTGTGTGTGGGTTTGAAAAATGTTTTTGAAAAGAAGCCAATGTGGTGGCAACCTTTGTAATGATCCATGTTGGGATGTATACAAAGGTGTATGTCTTTTGAAAAGGTTTTCATTTGTTTTTGAAAGTTTGTTTTGAAAGTGTTGTGAGGTGTGGTTTAGAAAATAGGCAAGTGTTTTGTTTTTGCAAGTTTGATTAAAGTAACTAAGAGGTTATCTACTCCTAAATTTCTCAAAGTTTATTGCTATGTTTTAACCCTTTTAATAAGTTTGTTCCACCATTGTATTTGGTGGACAATCTCATGTTAGGATGTGAAAGGGACGGGCGCGGGTCATCGTTTAGACCATAATTGCAATGGTGCCAAGTATCTTTGGGCATTTTCGTTAAGGGACTTGATCATTTGTTTAGGCAACATTTTGAAAGCGTCATCGAGGGACTATGATCATTTGATTTGTTTGTTTTTCCCAAAGAGACCTAACATGCAATATGGCCCATTTATTTGAAGGCAACAAGTGGAATACCCTAGGGGGTGCAAGTGTGATTTGTGTGTCCATTTTCATGCTTGTTTGTCTTGAGATTAGGTCATAACTATTTTGTTCATTTTATTCGTATATAAACCCTAATTCTAGCATTGTATATTTAGAAAGCGATAAAGTGCGAAATTTAAACTCCTACGCTATTACAACACAATAATATGGGGAGGGGGGTACAATGTTCAAATGGGGAGATATTTTGACAAGAATTTGAATCTAAGCTATTACATCATTTGCTTTGAATATTTACAATATGATTAAAAGCATAAATAAAATAGAGATAAGATAAATATGCAAGAATGCAAAAAAGAATTTTTATATGTACGAAAAAAAGTATTATTTATGTAAAATAAAAAAAGGAAAATAAAAAGGTGTTATTTTTGAAGTATTTTCAATTTTAGGGTAAAACCCTAATTCTATTAAACAAAATGTATTATTTATTAATATATACAATATTTATCATTTATACACAAAAATAAAATAAGAAAAGAAATATATTTGTAAAAAATGATTTTTTAGTGTTTAATAATAATAAAATAAAATATGTGTATTTTGGTATTTTATTCTAAATATATTAATATATATATGTATTTATTTGTATTATTCACAAATTGTTTTAAATATGCACAAAAATAATAATATTTAATCTTTGTAAAAAAAGGTATATTTCACATAAAATATTTTCAGAATATAAAATGAAATAAAATAAAAATAAAAATGTATTTACACCATTTTAGCATTTTTTAAATAAAAGTATATTTATTTACCTATTTATGTTCAAATAACTAATCTAACTAAATAAATATCTAATAAATAGGAAAATGGTATAAAAAAATATTTTTGTGTTTTATATATGATGAGGAAAAATAATTAAATCAGGCCAAAAAAGAAAAGTAAAAAAAAAACATTAAAATGAATGAAATGGGCTTGGGGGTGCAAAGCCAAAAAACATGGTGTGAAAAGGAATAACAAACAGGCCCAACCCAGAAAATGGTTGTCTTCAACCTTCAGACCAAACAAATTCAAAAAATACGCGCCTTTCTTCACCAATCCTTAACTCCTGATTCTTTGATCTTTTGCCAAATCTTCCAACATGAAACCTGTAGAGCTTGAAACCACGATTCTAGACATATAAAGAAGTCAATCTAACTCTCAGAAATGAGAGAGAATTTCTTCTCTCCCAAATCCTGACCTAATTTTTTATCAATGTTCAGCCATAAAATTCTCTAAGCACACATAATATAAATGAAATCTAATCATATGGGCATGTTCAGGGCTATGATTGTGACATGTTTTCTTCACAAACCTAAAGCTAACAATGCCTAATAAGAGAGATACGAATCCATGAACTTACCTGTTCAGTTGAAGTTCTATCTGGCTATGGAGAAGCTTTCAGTGCAAAGTGATGATTGATATAGCTTCCTTGAGGTCCAGGGATGCTATTCCAGGTGTTACTTTGCTTTGAAACCTCTTGAATCGAACTATAGCACTTCACCTGCAAATCAGAAAAGTGAAAATGGTGGAACCAGTTAGAGGGATTACAGGTCGTGTTTTTGCTTTTGGTTAGCTTGCATAGATGTTAGGGGATGTATGTGAACTGGTTTGGGCAAGAATGCTTGAAGGGATTGAGAGGTGATACTCAAACTGCAGGCCTTGCCCTGTTTTTGCAGTTTCAGAGTGATTCTGAGATTGAGGGTGTTTTGAAGGCTAAGGGCTCGTGTATTAGCTTGGTTGTGTTGTGTGGAATGTGTTTGATAACTTTGTCTAAGTGTGTGTAAGCTGAGATGGAAGTTTTTGTGAGTTATGGTACTTTTCTTCACTCTTAAGCAAACAAAGGCAACTTGTGTTTCTAGGTCAGTAGAGGACCCCTAATCCTGCTGCAAAGCTTCTCTTGATCAGAGTGATTTGTTCATAATCTTGTGCTAAAGAGATTTGGTTTGTACTTGTGGATTTGCTTCATGACATAAAGTGAAACCTTTGCAAAAATGGAAAGAATGCTTTATCTAATTTGGGACTAATCCTTCATACAATGCTTTAGCTCATGAAACAAGGTCTTAACACAATGGAGATGCATTAAATTATTGAGTGTTGGATGGTTTTAGGACCTGTAATCAAGGGCATGCTGGTTTTGAGAAGTTTGCATAACTTATGAACATGAAAAATGGCCAATTCAAAAGTGAGTTTTTGCCATTTTGCAAAATTCGATTCTCCCTAACCATGAGGTTGTTTGAGAAGTTCTTGGACATTTTGGAAATCTTGGAATGTGTACTAAAATCCATCTTTGAAGTGCAAATTGAAATTCCAAGTGGAAGTGTATGGAAAATGGTCTTGAAGTTAGGCAAAAAACTTGTCCAAAATAGGTCAAATTTTCACTAAGTTAAGAATGGTTTAGTACCCTTATTCAAAAATTTGTAACTTGAGATACAAGCTTCAAATGGGAAAACTTTGTGAATCAAAGTTGTAGATTATGCAACAAGCTACAACTTTCATGTTTTGACTTTTGTTTGAATCCAAATGAATCTTGGTGAAAAAGTGGGGCAAGGTTGGGAAAAAATTAGGGTTTTCCATAACTTAGAAAAATTCTAAGTTATGAAAAATTCCATTTTAAACCCTAATTTGCAATTCTTGGTTTCTTGGTGAACAAGTTTCATGATTTGGCATGTTTTGATGAAAAATGAATCTTGACTCTTGATTTTGACCAAAAAGTCAAAGTTTGACTTTTCAGTATACAGTCAAAATTGATCAATTGACTGGGAAATTCAACTATCAATCTTGTGTACTTGGGATCTTTTGAGCTTGTTGAGAATGTCAAGACAATTCCAAGGGGTCCTTGAGTCAATATGTGATCTTGGTTTGCCATTGGCTAAGTCAAACAGTCAAAAATTGCCTTTGTGCAGTCAAAACCCTAAAAATGACCATTTTTCCCTTTTGGTGATCTGATCAAATTTCTTGTGGAATTGTGATCCAAACTTGATCAAATGGTCCATATGAGTTCATAATGTTGATGTGGGTCAATTTTCATGAGATTTGACTGTCAATTGGCCACAGTTGACTTTTTCCCCAATACAGCTGATTTCTAGGTCAACTGTCCAATTGACTGGGTAAAACTTGGAATCAAGACTTGAAACTTGGTATGGATAAACTTGGGAGTCCAACATGAAGCATGAAAGTCATCTTAGGCTTTTTAGGTCAAAACATCTTTGTGCAAACACAAACCCTAATTTGGGTCAACAGTGCAAGGAGAAGTCTTGAGCAGAGGAAACCCTAACTGGATCTTGATCTTCAAAGGTCTGGTGATGAGAAAATGTTGAGGAAATGGGAGGGAAAATTTTGGGGTACAACACCTTGGGCAAGTGATTGAAGAATTCACCCCGAGCGTTCCATATTGCAAGAGTTATATCAATGCTATCACAAAAATCTTGACTAAAAAAGTCAATAAAATGATCATCGAATATGAAAAATAAAATAGAAAAATTCTAATCGAAATTCTAAAAAGAAATTCTATTCTAAAAATATTCTATTATTTTTATTGTTTTATTATTGATTAAAAAAATTAAACTATAAGAAAAAACTAAAACAATAAAAGAAAAGAAAAAAAATTAGAAGAGTTAGGGGGTATGAAGTCTAGAAATGTGGGTGTTGAAGTAATTTGCCCAAAAGATTTTCAATATTTTTATTTATTATTTTCTTAATTATAATTGTTATTAATTTGAATTAAGAATAGTAAAACAATAAGACAATTAAATTAAAAGAAAAAAAAAGCATGGAAATTGGAAAGGGAATAGGGTTTGCAGAAAAAAAAGTCTCTTCTTCTCTCGCGAACGGAACAGCGGCGGCGCCTCCGGACACAACCTCCTCCGCTTCCTCAGACAACTCGGCGGTGCGGTCATCATCATCTTCGTCCAAACTCCGTCTCTCGTTTGCTTCGCCGCCTTCCTCAGTCGCGGTCGTCACCTTCGTCCACTTCTCTTTCTCCATCGGTTCGCTCTCGTTCTCCAGCGATTCACCCTTGTTCTCCAGCGATCTCCTTAGCCAGCTTCGCTCATTCATTTCACTGTTGCGACAAATGGCTAACCTCCACAGTCACAATTGTATCCTTTCCACGATCCCACATCACCGTATCTTTCATTCTGAATCGAACCACTCTTCTTCTCCTTCACTTCTCAATGGATTCTTTTTCGATTGCTACCTGATGTGTTTGTGTTGTTATTCTGTTGATGCAGATGAAGACTTGATGATGATTGGATGTTCCGTTTTTATGATGAATCAATGAAGATGATGAAGGATATTGAGAAGTTGAAGGTTCTGCAGTCTCACAGATGAAAGATTGACGTGTGATGTTGAAGCAGTTGCAGAATCGTGATGCAGAGATGAATGATGGAAGCAGTTTACAGTTTTAGAGAGAGAGAATTTTCTGGTGAGGTTTATTTTGTTGAAGCTCTTTTTCTGATTGTGATTTTTCTGATAAATAATCATGAATGAATCTGAATCCCCCCTGCCCTCCTTTTTCTATTTGTGGTCTCTCTCTTATGCATATGTTGTGAACTCTATTTATATATATGCTGAAAGTTTGTTAGAGTTGGTTATTGATCAAAGGTGATGGTGAAAGTTGGTTAGAAGTTGGTTAAGTGGTTAGGAGGTAGTTAGTTATTCTGTTTTTTATTGGTGGTTATTGTCAGTTTTGCAAATATGTTGTGGGTTAGTTTTCTGTTAGGGACTCCTTTTGACAGTTGAGTTTTGTTATGCTTGGTTTGGTAATTGGTTAGGCTTTATGAATTGAATTGTTTTATTGGACTGATTTTAGTGTGGATTGGTTTAATGGTTTTATATTCTTCAGGCAGCAGCTGGTTTGGTACTTTGATACGGGGCTGCAGGTTTTGGCATAGCTGGAGAGTTGATCATGGTCATGATTTAGAAGCTTGAAGAAGGGCTTAAAATATGGATCTCATGGAGTTTTGGCAAAGGAGGTTATAGATGAGGATTAAGTCATAGGTTTAATGTAATGTGTTATTTTGTAATTACATTGGTAATGCAAGCTTCTTGTGAAAATTCCTTCTATTTTGGAAAGTAGATGGTTTGGAGTTGTAATGGTATTATTGAATGTAACATAAAATATGAATTATTTTGCTTTGTAAAGAAGTTTGCTTCCACTTCCATGCTGAATATTCTAAAGAAATGGCTTTGAACCCTCTTTTAATACTTGGTGGAAATTTGAATGAAACTTGAATGTTCTTGAATGCAATATTAATTTGGCAATTCCAAATCTTCAATTTCCTATCCAAAATCAAGTTCTCTTCAAATAGAACTAAGAGCTCCCAATGCTTTCCTTTATTTGCAACTTGAAAGAAACATATGATATCGAACCTTTTTTATGGATGACTTACGAGATAAACTCAAAGCTGACATAAAGAAAGACTTTTATTTGAAATCCAAAAATCTTGATCATGGATGAACATGGTGTGCTTTCTTCTTCGAAGTGACTTGAATTCCAAGGAATCCACGCGAATATTTAAGAATTTTGATTTTCTCCAAATCCACTTCAAATATTGCTGAATGAATTCTAATCAAACCACAGCTTCAGTGAATCCCTAATTCAATTCAATTCCTCAGTATAAACCAAACTTGTGTGTCAAGCAATAAGCATTTGAAATAATGACACCTTGATCACAATCAACATCTTGTACCATGTCCCGACTATATGAGCACTAGAATAACGACGTCTTGGACCCCTTCTCAATAGATGATAATGATTATGCCCTGAGGGATTCTTTGCAGATGAATATGAAAGATGAGACATGCGAATACCTTGATATGGAATGAACCTCAGGTAGAATGCTGACAAGCTCAAATATGAAAATGTATAAACCCTGATTTTTAGCTCCGTCTCATAAAACCTTGCAACTTGACATTGAGAAGCAAAGAATAGCCTCGTAGCTTGATGATGATAAGGTCCATGAAATGAAAACCTAACTTCAAACAGATTATTAATGGAGAAATCAACTGAAACAAGCTTGTGTGAAGATGGGAGCCTTAAAGCCATACACCAACCCTTATTCCTCGAAATCCATGATCTTATGCCAATTTATCAATTAATGATGTATGATGTGTTAGATGACCTAATGTGAGAAAAATGCAAAAATGCGTAAGCCAGATAAAAGTAAAAGGGTAGGACAAATTTGGGGTATTACAGCAGTTAGATATAGAAGAGAGCCTATCATACCACGACAGAGCTTCTGACAAACCCTTCCACTTATCTCTTCTTTTTTGAGATACATGTAGGATGCATTTGAGTCTTTATTATAGTGCAGTCTGTCATGTTGAATTTCTTTAGAAGTTATTTGGTGTACTTACTTTGATGTATGTAAGTAGCCTCTGGTTTTTGATCAATCTGGATTCCCAGAAAGAACTTTAGTTCCCCCATCATGCTCATTTCGAGCTCATCCTGCATTAACTTAGAGAAGTCCTCGCAGAGAGATGGATTAGCATAACCAAAAATAATATCGTTGACATAAATTTGAACAATTAGAATATCATTTTTGAATGTTTTACAAAAGAGTGTAGATTTAACCTTTCCTCTGGTAAACTTATTTTCTAGCAAAAAATTGCTCAATCTGTCATAACAAGCTCTATGAGCTTGTTTCAAGCCATAAAGAGATTTCTTTAGTTTAAAAACACAGTCTAATAGCCAGGAGGTTGTTTAACATATACTTCTTCTGAAATGTAACTGTTGTACCCCAAAATTTTCCCTCCCTTTACTTTAAAATTTTCTTCTAGGGTTTTTCAACTGTTCAAGGTTTCTCAGACCTCCAAACATGTAAATTGATTCATCAAAGGTTCAAGTTTGCAAGTGCTCGAAGTTTCTCCTGTCTTTTAGTTTTGATCTAGGGCTTTGACTCTTAAAGGTGTGATGCCTATTGAGATCAAGGTTCGTGTTTCAATGGTTGCGCAATATTAAGGCTTTTATTTGAGTTTACCTCGAATTAAGGGTTTTAATTCATGACGGGACGAATTGGGGTCGTGATGATTCAAACTCTGGTTTTCATTCAGCACTCACTAAGGAAGCATTGCATTGATCTGGCAATTTTGTTTTGTTCTGATAAATGTGAGCCTTATTCAAAGTTTCTATGGCTTAGATTCCAAGATTGTTTGTCGTGGGCAGAGCAAGGATACTAAGTCTCTCATTTCACTAGATAAAATTCTTGGTTTCTTCTTCCACATTTTTCTTTCAAACGCATTACATTTTATTTATATTTACATTTCCTACTTACAATTTATTATTTATTTTCCATTATTACAAATCATTTTTCAAAACATCATATTCTTTTACATTTTTATTCCTCTTTCAATATTATGAATCACATCATATTTATTTTTCTTTTTCAAAACATTACATTTTTATTCTGTTTTAAATCTACAATTCTTTTTATAAACTACATCACATTTTCTTTTTATTTCAAAGTCACAACTTACATTATTCTTTTTCAAGATATTATGTTTTTTTTATTTTTTTTCCTTTCAAACATTACAAATTCTTTCACATTCATTAAACATATTACACAATTTCAATTTCCAAATTCCAAATGTTTATTCAAATTTCAAAATTAATTACAAGTTCAAAATAATTTCAAAAATAATAAATCTTTACAAGATCAACTACATAAGGCACACTACCATTTTTCTTCTATTCTATTCTATTTTTTCTATTTCTATTACAAAACAGCACAAGATGTCTTCATCTTCAAGCGTCTTCAAGCATCTTCAATCTTCTTTCCATTTCCATTTTGCACATGAAACCAAAAAGAAGCAAGAGTTAGCAATTCAAAAAGAACAAATTATAAGCAATTCTCAATTCATCATTAGGGTGGTTCTAAGAATCAGAAAAGAGGTTTTTTTTTTGTGTGCTAAGGCCTCAAACAATTAGTTCTATCATGGGCCAATATTATTGCAAATCACAAACTATGTTGGTTCACAATAGAGAATTTCAAGCCCAATAGAATTTCAAGCCCAAAAGACTGTCAATTCTGCCCAAAGAAAGCCTCATACATGTTTAAAAAAAATCAGAAATTGTATCATTGGCCTAAGAGATGTGTTACTTTTTGCAAATCACAAAAGTGGATTTCTTGGTTCACAAAAAGCAAAATATAAGGAAGAAAATCATATTAACATCATGTATTTACGCAAAGAAAGTCACATTTCCAAGTTACTGCAAAAGCAAATCATTGTTCACAGTAAAAGAAAGAAGGAATTCAAAAAAGTACAACACTCAACAAGCAAACGGTACAACATGTACAACCAGCAATGCCAATCCAACAAGCAAATGGTACAACAAGTACATCCATCAATACTAATCTAACAAGTAACAAGTACAAAGTTGATTTGTGAACAATCAAGTCAAAAGTGAACATAGCAAAGTCAGCATCAACATATCATAGAAAACTGAGCAAGGCCAACTAATATAAAATCCAACAACAACACTGTTCAAAGGAGAGAATTTTCGTCCAACAAAAAAACTATACACAACCACAAAACAGAATCAACAAAATTCTGTTGATATTAAAATCGTGCCCTAACCCTTTCCAATTTTTCCAACAAAAATATACAGAGTCAAAGCAGAATCAACAAAAACCAAACTCTGTTCAACACAAAAAAACCGAACCAACACATAACCCTTTCAAATTTCTGTGCACAAAATATACAAAACATACATCAAAACTGAAACATACAAAAACCGAGCCATCACACCAAAACTCCTCAAAACCATTTTCAGCAAATCCAGAAAAAAAATACAGATACACAAATATACAGAGGTACGGAACTAAAGCAAACCACAACATCAAACCTTAAATTCTTTTTACATCATTTTCACAAAGCCGAAACCCTTTCGAGTTTGCAAAAGAAGAATAAAGAGGAAAGATCTCACCGAAACAACGCCAAATCCGTCGAATATGAACGCTAGGGTTTCATCCATCCCCTTTAAGATTTACACGAAACCAGGAGGAATATGAGAAAACAAACACGATATTAGTAAAGATGAGAGAAATATGATTCCA